CGATTCCCATCGAACCTGACATGTTTTACATTAGTAAAATCCTTCGCAAATTAAGTCTGACTAGTTAACCATTATAGAGCGTTATAGTTCTATAGTCGATGGGAATTGAACCCGCGACCTCAAAAGAGGCGATCTCTGACCACTCGATTAGAGATCCCAGTGACTCGGACATCGAGGTACTGATCCCACTTTGGCTATCCGTTATGCACATACAATCAGTTTCACAGCAAGTCCTATGCTTAGCACTATCTACTACAGATATGTTTTCGAGCCATATTCACAAGTTTGTATTGATAATCCAGAGTTTTGAGAACACCTTTGACTCCTCGTTAACGAAATATCTTAAAAATCGACAAATTCTCAGACTAACCTTTAAAAATCATAAGACCAAAGAAAACTCCAATTAAACAGGATTAAATTCCATAAATTCCTTTAATAAACCTTCAATAACTTTTAAATCAAACAATTTTCTCGATAAAATCTCCAAAAAGAAATCAAAATCAAAAGCTATTAACCCTCAAGATACACTTCAGTTGACAAAAGGACTTAATACAAAAAATACACAACAGCACAAAAAAAATATCATTAAACTTCATAATAGTTTCATAATTTCTTTAAATCCCTCACATTGTTATTGCATTGCACTCATCCACATATACAGCATACATGCACGAAGCTATAATAATCGATAAAAAAAAAAGAGCTAAGAAGAAAGGAATGAGCACAAAAAAAGAAGAAAGAAAGGAACGACGACGAAGAAAAAAAAAGTTATAAGAACATTAACATATTTATAAAAGAATGAACAATGAACGAAGCAGAACAGAAATCCCTAACGTATGCATCGACAATTGCAATCTCAACAACATTTTCCCATGTTCAGCAATTTCTTAATTCCATTTGTAAATCGAAATATGAATTTTTTAATACATCAAGATGCTCCGCCTTATGAATTCATAAAAAGATGATTTTTTAAAAAAAAAAATAAGAAGGGAAGGAACGGCAAGAATATGATTGAGATTCATTTTTTTATTATTATTTCAAATGCCATTCGTCGTGAGCTCCCCAGCATGCTCTATTCGAGCATGTATTTTAAATATTCATAATTTTTTTTCTTTCTCTCAAGACGTCGAACCACGCCTTATACACACGAATGTCAAAAAAATACACAAGCTAGCTAGCGTGTCATAAATTATTTCTCATTTATTATGCGCGTTATGAATATAGAATATGAAAAAAAAATATAAAAAAATGGATTTTGATTCGCGCTCGCGCTTCTCCCTAAAAATATATACTTTTTTTCTGTCTCTTTACTGCATCTTCTCTCGTTTCTTTGTGTATATGTAGGTTTTACGACTCCATGTGTTGATGCCTGAAAATTTATTCATCGTCAATTCGTGAAGGGCGAATTTTTTTTTTGTTTTTATCAATTCAATGAAGATTTTTTTTTTCTTCTTTTATTCAGCGTGTTTGTTTGTTTTTAATTATCATGATATTGTCATGCATTGCTTTTTTTCGCTCCTTTCCCTTTTAGCATATTATTGTAAAATATATTGAAGATTGAGGTTCTTTTGGGTGAATTCTTCTTCTTTGTTTATTGGCTAGCTGATGTTCTTGAGTTATTGCTTGGTTACCATTGGATTTTCTTTAGCTTTAGGTTAGAATCTAGAAGTTCACTGAAATCTTAAACAAGAGATCTCATCTAAGTTAGAATCCAGAAGATAACTGAAATCTTAAACAAGATATCTTTCTTCAACTTTAGGTTAGAATCAAGAAGTTCACTGAAATCTTAAACAAGAGATCTTTCTTCCACTTTAGGTTAGAATCCAGATGTTCACTGAAATCTTAAACAAGAGATATTTCTTCAACTTTAGGTTAGAATCCAGAAGATCACTTAAATCTTAAACATGAGATCTTTCTTCAACTTTAGGTTAGAATCCAGAAGTTCACTGAAATCTTAAACAAGAGATATTTCTTTAATTTCAGGTTAGAATCTAGAAGATCACAGAAATCCTAAACAAAAGATCTCATCTAAGTTCGAATCCAAAAGTTCACTGAAATCTTAAACAAAAGAACTCATCTGGTTTAGAATGCAGAAGATGTGAAATCCATAACCTTTTTAAAAATGCTGTCTCAATTTTAGTATCCCAAACAATTCCCAACTTGTTATCTTCTTCAATCATTTTTTAAAATAAATAAAATTTCCACAATTTTCTGTAGCAATTTTTTTATGTGAACAGAAAATTTAAATTTCTTTATCAACTCAAAAATATTTTTTTTCCCTCTTCCACACTGCTTCACAAAGGATTACTTATTACACAACATGAATGTATTTAACGATGATTTTTGTGTATTTAGTCTCTTTTATTTCCTCTTATTCTTCGCCCTTTTTTTTGTGCATACTTAAATTGTACTGCATGTATTTATGTAAAAATGCAATTTTCGATCAATTGAGAGGCGAGCAAATAAGAAGAATAAGAATGAACTTAAATTCAATTTGCAGCAGCTATATTGGAACGAATTATTTTCAATTGTTTCGCACTGCATGAGGAGAGAAACGAAAAATTGATGGAAAATAAGAAGGAATTGGAGGAAGTAGAGGAATGAGACATTTACGCGACTTATGCGGGGTTTTTGTAATTTAAAGATTAATAGAATTAAAGTTATTTTGAAGTTAAAGCTTATTTTGAGGTTATGATCTTTACTTTATGTTTAGGATCAGTATTTCGTGGTTAGGATCAATATTTTGAGGTTATGATCAATATTTTAAGGTTATGATCGATATTTTGAGGTTATGATCAATATTTTGAGGTTATGATCATTATTATCAGGTTGAAATTAATTATTTGAGGTTATGATTAATATTTTAAGGTTAGCATCAATATGTTGATGTTAGAATCAATATTTTGAGGTTATAATCAATACTTTGAAGTTAAAATTTACATTTTGAGGTTAGAACGGTAAGAACAAATTTTTTGAGGTTTTGACCATTCTTTTGAGGTTAGAATCGATTATTTGAGGCTAGATTCAATATTCTAAAAAAGAATGAATTGAAATGAACACAAAATCAACTTAAAGACCGCCACTAACCCAACAGTAAGCATCCAAACAATCTAATCCAAATATCTCTCAAACAAATCTAATAGCTACTAAGGTCAGCACACAACATATTAACCATTCCAGCCATAAAACATTCCAAATGACTGTAAATTGCGTAAATATTCGCAAATCTCATTACTTTAATTTTCATCACCTTTTAAATTCCGTTTTCGAAATTCCCCCAAACAAAAAATTCCCTGCAATAAAATTCCAAAAAAAAAGTGACGTCAATATTTTTTTCATAAACAGTTTTTCGTTGAAAAACTTCTTTACTAAGACACAATACAGTACGAAATATGTTAATTAATCTCAAACAGAGCATGTAGTGAAATATAAATTCCACATATACAATGCCGGAATAAATCTACGAGGAAAAAAAAAAGAATCGCAAAAAATAATCTAAATTTGAAAAATTTACAATTTCATAAACAAATGCTACTCATAAATTTATTATCATTACGTTGTGAATTATTTTAGCTGTGCGTCGTGGTTCTGGTTTTTGTCTCGAATTTTTCCGAGTTAATTTTCTTCGGTGTTGAACTTTTCTTTTTTTTTTGTGAATTATAACAATCTATAGCTGTACTATGTGTATTTGAAGGAAAAATAAATAAACATAATTAAGTTTGAAAAGTAGGTTTTTTACTTGGTGTATAGAGCGCACTTTTCGGTTGTTAAGACTAATTGAATTTGTCAGAAAATTAACGGAAAATCTGACTGAAAACTAGCGGACTTTGAAAAAAAAACTGTCAGATTTTTGTCAGAAAACTAGTGGACTTTGACAGAAATCTGAAGGATTTTTGTCAGAAATCTAACGGACTTTGACAGAAAAATAACGGATTTTCAAAAAATCAATTTTCAAAATTTGCAAAAATCATCAAAATTAGCAAATTTTAAATTTCAAACATTTTAAAGACTTAAAAAAATAAATCAAAGTTTCAAAAACATCTCTTCATCCACAATACTTAGCCAATAGGTCAAAAATTCATCAAGCAACAAGTCACTCAACACATTTGGCATCCGAAAACAATCTTGATGATTTTCAGTGTGTTTCATTCCATTCTAATTATCAACATAGCCTAGTAAAATTATAGCACGTAATAATTATGAGCATTTACAGATATATTTATGATGATTTACAGCAATGAGATTTATGATGATAATAAATAAGGAAGAAACATTCTCAAATCGACTTCAAGAAAGTTATTATGTTTATCTTGACTGCTTTAAAAATAGACTTCAATTGTTATTTATTCATCGCTATGCTTCACACTGCTTTATCGATAATAATGTGTGCAGAAACTAGAGTCATCGGTTAAGCTAACGTAATTTTAAAATTTGAATGAATACAACCGATTTGTCGGTAAAGCTTTGAAGGACTTGCTGTCATTAAACTGAACTTATTTGTACAGAATTGGTTTACTGGTGAATTCAGCTAGAGTTGATACAATTTATGACTTGATCCTACGTACATCAAAAAGAAGAAACACAATTTCTAGAATGCTGATGAAAGAAGCTCCCAGAAAGAGTCCAATGATGCCTCCAACATGAACTGAAAAGAGTCTTTTGAATAAAAATCAAAGAAAATAAAGCTAGTGCGCATAAAACGTGTGAAAACAGAGAATAGTGCGCGTAATATGTGTGAAAGTAGAGTTGAGCGCGCATAATACATGTGAAACCGAGTTGAATGTGCATAATATATGTGAACTCCGAATTGGTGCGCATAATACGTGTGAAATTGATGCATAATTGGCATAATACGAATAATAATTGATATCACGTGCGCATTATACAAGAGAATTTGTGTGATGCGCATAATGTAAGAGAAATAAATTAAATCTTCACAAAACTCAAGTCTATACCCACCAATCATATCCAACTTTGAGAACACAACTCTCCTTATATACCGCAAACTAGGCTTAGCCATAATTTCAATCTTCAATACCCCAACTGGTTCATTATCAACTTTTTCAGAATATTCTGCAATTTTTGTGATTTCCATAGACGGGCAGGATGGAATGAGACATTCTTCAATATGCTTCTTAAAATTTAGCTTCAGAACCTTAGTGAATTCCTCAATGCACTTGAACTTCTCAACATCACACAAATTGATCTTTTTTCTTTTCAGCAGTTCCAAGTCACCAATTGGCAATGTACATCCACACTCATTCAACTCTAATTTCATCTTTTTCAGGTGCACGCAATTAGCGAGACTGTATGGCATGTCAAAGTCCTCAAACTTTTCAAAAGGATACCGACAATTGCGTGCTGCAATACTTTCGTGCTTAATATTCTCATCGTTGAGAATTTCAATGGTTTTAAGTCCAATAAATGTTTGTGTCTCTGACTTCCTAAGTACAATTGGTTCCATCATTTCATTAGGTCGTTCTTCTGGTGGATGAGTGTAGAGTTTATAGGACCAGAACTTACTTTCAATGTACTTGATAACTAAGGAACGTTCAACAGGCTGATTGTTCTTGTATGTCAATGGAAGTCCTTGATAGTCTTCAAGGTTGTCTCGCATGCCATTGGCAATAAAACAAGTTCCAATTTCTGTCTCGTGCTTGACAAATGCTTTGTCGCATGGAATTTGCTTCCCTAAGAACTTTACAGATTTCATAAAGTCATTGCACGACTGCGGCAAGAAGCTTTCCTTTAATGATGTAATGTTGACTGTGTGGATCTTGTTAAAGTCCACAAAATCTTCAATCTTTATGCCTTCACTTGGATTGAATCGATTCAGGAACAGCAAGCTTTGATAAGTCCTGACAATCGACAACGGAACTGACCCACTTGTCACATTCTGTAAATACTTTTTGATTGGAGTCGTTGCCAATCCTTTATTCAAACAAATTGAAATGCCTGGAAATGCATTAACCCAGTCGCGGTAGTTTATGTCTAAGTTTATCGATGTCGAGTTCAGACTTCCTAGTGATGTCCTTAGGATATGAATCATAAACCCAACTGAGAGTGCAATAAATGTTGTCCAAAATGTTCTTGCAAAGCATTTCTTCCATAATTTTGTGTCTTTATTCAGTGACATGTGCTTGAATCCATGAAGAGATGTCGATTTAAATATAAAGTTAAGTTTTGATTCCATTTTTTTGGAATTTTTTGGAGGATGTTTAAAGTTTATTTTAAACTTGATGTTGTTTAAACTGATCAGATCAGAGTTGCTCGATAGACTGACTCATTGATGCCGTGATGAATCGAAAAGCTTCATTATTTTTAAAAATTATTAATTCAGCAATGATGACAGCTATTATCACTTTATGGCTTTATTTTAATTGCAATAAAATGATAGAGTTTAAAAGTTATAGAACGAACTATATCATTTAATATTATCATGATGAAATTTTTTAATGGAATCTTAAATGGTTTGTTTTCCTAGATACAGAGCTCTTACTATGGCACTGGCAGATTCTTCTGCATATGGTTCGACTCCCAGCTTCGAGACTTATAATGTTCAATCTCAAGGATCGGGTTTAACAAATAATCAGATGAGATTCAGCAATTGTTTTGGAAATATTTTGATGATCGACAATTTTGTAAAGATTAGATCTAAGATCCTATAGCTTATTCCATGTTTCACCTCCATTAACACTTCCAATAATAACTATTTTTAACTCCCTCAAATAATATTGTAAGTTTTAAAAAACAAACAAATTAAAAATAAAACTATAAATACAGAATTAACTCAGTACTTTGAATTAAAACAAATTCAGCATTAAATCCTTTCTAAAGCTCAAAAAATATGTTTTTATCGAATATTTTTGTAGCTATTGCTTGTTTTGCTGTTTTTCAGCCAACCCTAGTAAACTCAAAGGTTATAATCATCTTTTACAATGGTAAGTCATGCTTTATGTATTTGACAACTGGTTATTGTTATGATTCAGAAGTCAGCACCTATTAGGAATCGAACCAACAACTCTCTCAAAATATGGTGGTTTTAGAATCTCGGTTTGTTGCTTAACCGCAGCTCATTTACAGCTTCATTCTCACATTGACAGATTCAACTACACTTGGATCTATAGTCCTAATCTCAATCTGATTCTGATCCCACTCTCCCCCTTAAATCACACTAATACATACAAAACTTCCCCATTTCTCACAGAAATCAACAATTGTGAAGACTACTGCAAGGGTGATGAATGTTTTGAGTTCTACGATCTATCAACTCTCAGAGTTATATCTGACGAGGAAGATGAGACTGTCGCATACTTGAATGGAACCTGGAAATTCAACACCGATGTCCACAGCCCTGAAAAAGCATTGGCGTGGGCTGAAAAGAGACATGGATCAAAATGGAGTACAGAAGCTTTGTATCATCGCTACAATGATGCTTGTGAAGGATTTAGAAATCCATTGGATCCAGTTTATTCATTTTTTAAGGGTAAACAAGGATGTCCTCATAAGAAAGGGGTGAGTTTGAGGTTTTTAAGTATGAAAAAGTAAGGATTAAGTTTCCTTTACAGGAATCAATTTCATGGAACATGCACAAAATTGTCTTTCCACCAACAATTGCTTCATCTTTTGTTGGCGAATGGCGAGCTAATGTTGCTGTCGAAAGAGTTGTTGATGGAAAATTGAGGAAGCAATGCAAATATCTAAGATATGACATCCATGATGAATAATTAGTTTTGGACATAAAATAAGCTTAAATTTATTATTTTCGATGTAAAAAAGTCACCATCATCATTATTTGTTTTTTATTGTGTAAATCTTGATTTACAAATATTGTTAAAAAATATGTAAAAAATGTTCTAATTAAGCTCAACGTTTACATGATTTGTGTAATGAATAAAGCGATATTAAAACTATAAAAAAAATGTGCAAAAAAATGAATTGTAATTAACATTTCAGAATATCAAAAAAAAATGCATTTAAAAATTGATATAAATTGACTGTAAATAAGGGAAGGATGGAAATTAATCTAAATGACTGACAATTAGTTAACATTTTACTACATCAACAAAGAAATATGAAAGTAATGAGCTGATTAATCAGTTGTAATAATAATAATAATAGTAATAATATTAAAAATAATAATAATAATTATCATAAAAATCCTAATGTAGTTTCTGTATGCAGGAAGACATTCAAATATATATTGCTCAGCAGTTACTTAATAATGATCCTTGCGGCTGTTAACATTTTTTGCTTCCTTAGTTTGGAACTGGAACCCATAAAATCTTTTTCTGCTCAATATCGACTGCTGTTTTGATTTGCGTACTCATATGAGTGATATTCACGCCTTGAATCACGACTGGAATAAGAAATGAAATAAATTAGTACTCTTAAAATATTCTATAACTGATCTCGTCCACAAACTGATCTTATTCCTTAAACTGATATCATCACTTAAGTAAAATTGTTCTTAAATTCCTGATTTTATTCTTTAAGGAGCCGTTCACTTATGACGTCCGGGGGGGGGGGGGGGGGGGGGGTCAGCAAGAAAAGAACAATAGAAATTCCTGGAAATCCATTGTTCTCTTTTGAAAAATGACCGTTATTTTTGGACGTCATAAGTGAACGATCCCTAATCTAATCTTCTTAGGTTTTATCACACTCAAACTGATCTTATCCCATGGACTAATTTTGCTTCTAAAGTAATTTTGTTCATAAACTGAACTTATTCTTTAAAATAAGAAAGAATAATAAAATAATTTATTTTAAAAATATTCATATCTCACAAACTGACCTCGTCCACAAACTGATCTTATTCCTTAAACTGATATCATCACTTAAGTAAAATTGTTCTTAAATTACTGATTTTATTCTTTAAGGAGCCGTTCACTTATGACGTCCAGGGGGGGGGGGGGGGGGGGGGTCAGCAAGAAAAGAACAATAGAAATTCCTGGAAATCCATTGTTCTCTTTTGAAAAATGACCGTTATTTTCGGACGTCATAAGTGAACGTGTTCGGGGGGGGGGGGGGGGGTCAGCAACAAAAGAACAATAGAAATTCCTGGAAATCCATTGTTCTCTTTTGAAAAATGACCGTTATTTTCGGACGTCAAAAGTGAACGATCCCTAATCTAATCTTCTTAAGTTTTATCACACTCAAACTGATCTTATCCCATGGACTAATCTTGCTTCTAAAGTAATTTTGTTCACAAACTGAACTTATTCTTTAAAAAAAGAAAGAACAATAAAATAATTTATTTTAAAAATATTCATATCTCACAAACTGATCTTGTCCTTAAACTAATCTTATCCTACAAACTGATCTTATCCCTAAACTAGCATTATCTTTAACGAATATCTTGTCCACAATATTTTTTTTACTAATCTTATCCTTAAACTATCATTGTTCTTAAACTAATCGTGTCCCTAATTCTAATCCAATCCCCAATTTACTCACCAGAAATATATTGTCTATACTCCGATTCCAATTTCAAGGCATGCTCGTACATTTCCTTAGCCTGTTTAGCTGAAAATTTATCACTTCCATAACGTGAATCCTTAATTTCTTTAATTTGTTTCGCAGATTTAAATTTAAGTAGTAAGACGATCGGGTAGATTTGATTTCGATGAAGTCGTTCGACAGCTGATAAGTTTACATCTAGGATGCAATGTGATTCCTGAAAGGAAGCATGTTAAGTTTATTTGTAAGATTTATTGAACCCTGAGATTGAAACCTCGAGCTTCATTGAGCCACATCATTTACCTTATTATCCTTAGCTGCTTCCAACGAAACGCATTCGAACAAGCTTCCACGACGTCGATATTCAATAATCTGATTATTATTGAGTCTCATTTCTATTTCCTCTTTACTGCATTTCATTTGGTTGACAATGCATCGATGAAATTGTTCGGGGAAGTCACTTATTAATTTATCCACAACCCATTCACTTAAAGCTCCTATAACAAGAACTGGACGATACATATCTGCAAGTAAACAAAACTTAGGGCTTAGCTCTAATAAAATAAATCAATTTTCTTACAGTCCAGCCGTTCAACACGCTGATAGCCAACAAGACTATCCTCATTTATGGATGATGCCTCTAAATACAAGCTTAAATGCGTATTGCTAAAGCTTGCTAGTTCCTTTGAATCTCTTGATGAACCTCTTTGTGGCTTTATTCGCTTAAAAAATGATCGACGATATGATGTGGAGCTTCTGCGATTCGAATGTGTATCTTCTGACACTTCTCCGTTCAGACGTAAGTCCTCTTCAACTCTGGAAGTTAAATTTGAAAAGAAACGGTTAAATAAAATTTGAAAAATTACTAGCTCAACAGTCCATACTTCATTTGACTAGGAATGATGCCACATTGTACACGACATCCATATTCGTCGAGTTTCCAAGCACGCCATTGACCAGAAACTCCTCGGAACATTGTATTATCGACATAAAGTACATCTTCCTTTGAAAATGACAATTCAGCTTCATTTGATTCCGCATTTCGTTCGAAATTGACACGGATATAGAAGGAATCGCCAGGCACGTCCTTGATTTGATTGAATTCTAAAATGAATGGATATGATCAGTTTCAAAACACAACAGCATGTTGATATAGTAGCTTACTATGGACATTATACTGCACAAGAGCTGTAACCTTATCAGCAGGCTTAGCAAGTTCAAATGCGACATATTCAGCAGTTGCTCGTCTCAAATCAGTTCCATTATATTCTAAGATTTGATCACCAACACGAAGACCTGCTTGATCAGCTAATGAGTCTTTCTGGACACTGTGAATGAAGATGCCATAGGCATTTCCACCGAGTAGACTAACGCCTAAGTTTGGATTTTTCCTGGAAAATTTGAAAATTAATTTTTTATTGCTGGATTTAAATTTTAATCCACAGACTCAACTTAATCCTTGGATTTAAAGAAATCAATTCCTTACCTAGTCTCAACAAAAACAATTCTCGGCTGTTCCTTTCCTAAAGTATTAGAATTTCCAGCCATCATGTTATGCAACTGATTAGATCCAGATGAAGAGATGATTGAAGGAGCCTTAACTTGCAAAGGCGGTGACATGATTGTATTACGATGACTCTTAATAGTTCCAGTCGAATGAGATGATTCAGGTGGAGGAACCGATGACATTCGTTTACTTGACGACTGAACAGAGTCTGTAGAAATGACAGATCGAGTAGCTTTTGGAGAATTTTGAGGTGTGGAATCTTCAGATCGTGAGACATTTTCGTCACTCGTACTTAGTTCCTCATACTTTTCTGGATTATATTGAACCAGCATTGTTATTGAATTTCCACATTGTCTCAGGAATTTAGCAGCTAAGTCATAAGTCGCTGACCGCATATTTATTCCACAGAACTCTAGCAATTGATCACCAACTTGTAGACCCACTTGACTTGCTATTGAATTCTCACCGACATGTGATACGAAAATTCCTCGATTTTTACGACATCGAATGCTTATGCCCAGTGGCTTTTCACTTTTCTCAATGTCCACACGACGCTTTTCACCAATATTTGGCATATATCCTTTACCATAAGGTGGCATTGAGTTCCTCTTATTAATATTTATATTTCGTCCTGGTTTGATGATTTGGATCTGAAATGTTGGCATTGGCGATGACCGATCTGGTGTACTGCAATAATCCAACGAATTGTTACTGATTTTTATAGGCTTTGACCTTTCAGGAGGCATTGTAAACCCCGGCAATCCAACCTGATTTGGTGGCATTTTTACTGTCTTTACTTTCCTTGGAAATGTTCCACTTTCTTGATACATGCCACTGCTGTTACTCCATGGCTGAAATGCAGACATCTCTTCACGTGACAATTGTGCACGTGCCTTAGTCGATGAGTAAGAATAGTCCACAGACGAGTGATGTGGCGCTAAACTATGATCGTGACTTGGCGATGACATTAGAACGTCATTTGGTGGAAATAGAAGTGGACTCAAGTGACGATATGGACTTGAATTAAATCCTGGACTTCCTTGTACACGACCAATTGATGGTGCACGCAAATGTGATGGCAATGTTCCAATACTTGCATTATTAAGTGAGTCCTGCTGTGAAACACCACCAGAACTGCTTAAATTGTCAACATCCGACATATTGTCGTACTTGTTACTCACATAATTATTTAAATATCGATTAAGCTTCTGTGACGTATAGTCATCATCTTTAAGTGACGGATGATTTAATGGACTTTTCGATATTTGTGTCGATTCGATGCTGCTACTTTTTATCGGCACGAATGTATTCGGAAAGAAATGAGGTTTTGGTGGTGTATTTGACAAATTGAGACTGAGTCGATTATGGAAATTCTTATTATTGCTCGATGACGATGACGGCTCGTAAATTGTGTGCATGTAAATTGGACTTTTACCACCGATTGTCGATCTCGGCGGAATTACATTATTGCGAGTAAAAAGATGGGATTTAGTGACAATATTTGATTCGTGTGATGGGATGGGCGGCTTTGGAGGTTGAAAGAGTGTATCGACTGCTTTTTGCTGCTCTGCTGACATCTTCTCAGTCAACGACTCTTTCCGATCATCCTTATTTGGCTGATCATCAGTCGATATTAAATACAAACGCGGTCGTTCCTTCTTCTTATTAAATACTACAGTTCCTGAATGAGATTTTCCACTATCATGTAGTGCCATAGCTGCTCGTGGCCAACTCTTTGCTATATTCTTCTTATGTTTACTTTTCTTTGATTTCTCTTGTGCCACATCAAGTGAATCTTGACTGTCAAGTACGGAATCAAGCACAGCAATCGCATCATTCTCTTGATTCTCTTTATTCGTATTAGATATTGCATCACGTATCTTTTGGAACATATTTTTCGGTGTAAATTTACTGGATGATTTCGATGAGTTGGGCGATGATGAGCTAATACTTGTATTGATCATCGATGTGTCTTGTTCCTGTACGGATGGTGGTGGTGGAGGAATGAATGGAACAATTGGCAAGAAACTTGTCATCTCAATACTTCTTTTTAAGTCACCATGATCAGTTTGTGTACTTTGATTTGTCATTCGACTCCATCCTTTACTTAAGGACATTGATCCATCATTGATTTGTCCACTTTTAAGTATCTTTAGTGAAAGTTTCTCATTATTTTTAATATTCATCATGATCTGATTAAATTCATTAATGTTTTTAATACCCTCGACTGACTTTTCATTAATTTGTAACACGCGATCACCGACACTTAATAACGGCTCATAATAAGCAGCTGAATTGCTTTCAATATTGGCAATAAAAACGCCATTTTCAAATAATATTCCATGATTTCCATTATTGAGTTGTAATTGGACATTATAGATGCCTTTAAGAATCGATTTTGTGCGCTTAACGATCATCTTGCATGTTGGTGAGCTTGTACGGATGTGCTTGATGAGCATTCGTTGCGATAATGTTGAACAATCGACACCATTAATGTACTGTATACAGTCATTTGCCTGTATTTTACCATAAAATACTGAATTTGGCTCAACATAAAGCACACGCGGATAGTAGCTATTTCCATTGTAGTCGGACGACTCATTAGTAAAATCAAAGTTGATTCCAATACTTGGATTAATCATCATATGACCACCCACATCTATTTCAATCTCCTCAATGTCATTACTGCGCTGCTTCTTGTGTAAATCATCCGATATCTTCTTGACATTACTTAATATCTCAATTTTCTCATTCAATTGCTCAATCTTTTTAAATGCTTCATCCTTATCGCGGATTGCTGCCAATAGCTTAGATGTTGCTGTGTCACGTTCCTTTCTCAATTCATCACACAAATTGCGAACCGAGTCACGTTCTTGGACAATTTTTTCACGCTCTTGAATCGCCCAATCTCTACGTCCTTTTGCTATTTCTGATTCTTGGACAGCCTTCGCGACTTCTGAGTTGACTTTTTCGAGAAGTTTCTTTAACTTTTCAATCTCTTGATTCGCAACTTCTAGACTTAAGAATGTCATTTTGTCTTTACTGCTGTACAGATCATCATTTGAATGCAGGAACTCACTCCGACTTCTCATTACGTCCAATTTCTGTCTTAATGATTCACATTCTTTAGCAAAATCATCTCTGGATTTTAGGACTTTATCAACTTCTTTTCGTAATGACTCATTTTTATCTGATAGATTTTGATTCTCCTTCAAGACGGTGCCACGTTCCGATAATACTTGAGCGACTTCATATTCGGTCTCGGTCAGTTGCTGCTTTAATTCATTGCGTTCCTTAAAAAAAATATTGAGAGAATCAAGCAGACAATGCAAAAAGAGAGAGAGATCATTAATTAAATAGCTCAATTAGAGATGCTAATTACTTGACTTACTTTCGTCAGTTCCTCGCATAGCTTCAAATATTTCATTGGTTCTTGCATACGTGAATTTAACTGCTCCCTCAATGCATTATTGTGTGCAAGCACATCCCGATATTTCTCATTTATGAATTCCAGCTCCAATGAATGAGCACAGACAGTCGAGTCACAACTTCTGGACATTTTTTAACAAAAAATTTGATTTTTAAAATTATTTGACAAAAATTTCTAATTTTTTTTTGCTCGAAAGGCACTTTAATATTGAATTTTTGCGATAATTAATCACAAAAATGTGTATCTAACTACTTCATTGTGGATTTGGGATGATAAGGTCGCTTTTTATGGGAAACATTAGCACTTTTTAGCCAAATAAATAAATGAAATTGACAAAATTATGAAAATTATTGAAATAAAAATAAGCGAGTATGAAAAAATTGCTATGTTCGGACTGTGAAAAGCGATTATCGAATCTTATTGGAACTGCTTTTGCCAGATGTAGAAGTTGACTTGGGATTTTTAAAGATCCAGTACTGGATTTCATTTATTTATCTTAAAACCCTACAAATGTTCTTCTTCTTCTTCATTATCTTTATTAAGGTCCTTTTTAATAAATTTTAAGACCATTTTCAATTCCAAATGTTTTACATATTTTTTGATTTTATAAATACGAACTGCAATACAGGATATTATGTGTTTTAGTGTTAGATTTTGTCGTAAATATTAATTTCTTTTAGAAAGTTTATAATTTTATCTGTTTCATCTTTTTCGTCTAATTCAAGTGTTTTGGAACTGATATTAAATTTTGAAATAGCTGTTTGATTGTTTGTGCATTCAAATATGTGTCTGACTGTAAGTGGGGTGGGGTAGTGCATGTGCATATTGGGGGAGAAGTTTTTTCAATAAGATGTATATGTGTTAGATTTGTGTGTCCAATTCTAAGTCATGTCAGTACTGTCTGGTCTTTTCTTTTATATGTTTCCTAATTTATTTCCGTTTCTGATTTCCTCATTCCATTCTTCTTGCCATAGCTTTGTGACATGCTCTTTTACAAACCTACAAATGTTTAATAGAACTGTTGTATGGTTTTTAAAACTAAAATTGTAAGGTTCTGGATTGGATCTCGGAAACTTCACATTCAGCCTGATTCAGCCGTTCATTAAACTTCAACATCTGGAAAATTAATCTACAACAACTACAACTTTATTTACATTTTCTTCAAACTCATAAAATCAACTGGAACTGACATGATTTTTTCTAGCTCTTGTTGCAAAAGAGCATGTAATGAGACTCCGTCATGCTTGTATATCCAATCGCCATTGATCCAGTCATATCTCTTTGGTCCGGATATCGGTGAACTTAGCCAGATTTGCCTATTTGGTGTTTGCCTGTTTATCACGTATGTTCCATAGTCACCGCCCAACTTCACTGTAAGTACACCGTCCTATAATTGGAAGTAAGAATGTTGACTGGATGTTTTTCATAGGAATTGATTAACTTACAGAATAATTCACGTCTCCATTCACTAATTTACTGTCAGCCTCGACAATTTCATCAAAATATTCAGTCAATGACTCAAGAGTCTGTATACAAATCGGTTCAAAGGCTGACAACTCTAGCTGCTGTACTTCAGATGCATAGTCGGGCGATTTCGAAAATATAGAACAGAGATTTCTCCGTGCACAATTAAAATTGTTATTTTGATGATTTCTAATGATTGCTGGAACTGCCCTTGATATTTGCACGACTCTAAATTGCTTTAAATTTCTTATCAGCATACGCCAAGGTTGTGTTATATTCATTTTACTGCTTAAAGTTAGATAAAATTATTTGTGTCACTAAACCAGTAGAATGTAAACAAAAATTGTTGTTGTAAATTGTTGTACTTACGATTCTGATGATGATTGTGTTGTAGATGGTAATTGTTAAGTGCTGGTTGTTTATATTGCTGTTTGTGCTTTAATTAAGCTTGTAATCTGATTTAATTTGATTGAAAGTTTGTAATAAACCGTTAAAAATAAATTTGAATCATGTCACACTTTTTCCTACCCCTGATTTTCCGGGATTTCAAATATTTTTTCACCGTTAATGATTTTGAAAAAACCGTTGGAAAGAATTATCATGGAATTCAATAAATATCAATTTTCACTCTAATTAACAATCCAGACTCTTGAAAAAGTATCCAAAATAATAGAGAATTCAAAATCAAAGAGTATTAACATAAAACCACACACCGATTAATGGATAAACAAAAGATAAAAATCATAAACTTCACATAACGCGCATGTGCATAATTCACATTTATTTCCATGAATGAAACTTCAAAAGAGAAAAAATTGAGCAAACACTTGCTACATGTAAAGCTATTTTCTCTCAATATTATTTTTGCCATTTCAATTTCGCGTGAGACTTCAAAGACGTTAGTCGTGTTTCCGTGTTTATTTCGCGTCTAGTCGATGGTGCAATTTTTTGTCAAATTAATAAAGTGGATATACCATTGTGTATTTATGTATTGAATGATAATGGAAAAAAAATAAAAATAAAAATATGTAATAAAAAAATTGTGAATTATTTATTGGAATTTATAAAAAAAAAGTTTGTTCAAGTGTGGCATGTGTATCAATTAAAAAAATATAAAGAATAAAGGTAGAAGGAAAATAATCAATAAAAAAAAGATAAAGCAAAAATTTTAAAAATAAGATAAAAATAATAACAATAATTAAGTATCTTTAAGTGTAACTTAGTGTATAAAAGTTGTAAAAATCTTTCTTTCTTTTGGATATAATCATCAAAGTTTAACTTACCATTTAGTAAATATATTTATAAACACAACAACGAAGGAATAATTGTAACGTAAATTATAAATCGAGAAGCATTAAAAATGTCAAAGGTATGTGAAACTGATTCTCATTTCCTCACCAACGAAAGAACCATAACAAATTTGGTGTCTTTAGTCAGGCATAGACGTGCTTTTGGGTGATTTTAGTCGCATTCAATCGATTTGATTCAGATTAAATTAATTGATGATTTTAACGGATTTCTTTAATTTGAATTTTTGCGGTATGACATCATTTTGGAGTCAACTTCATGATGTACGAAATTAATCTTTTTAAAGACGATTTAAAGATGCTTTTGAGTACTTAAGTTGGGATTCAAATAGCTTAGCAGGTTGATATTGCAATCTTCAATAAGTCAGATGCACTTTGATGTTAAATAGTGCTTCTAATGATAAGATAATCTAACGGTTATTTGAAATTCAAATCTCAAATTGCGGTAAAAGTTCAAATTTTTGAAAACCTTTTAAATTCAAATTCCCAAATTTTTTATTGATTGCAATTTTTAAAAACTGTTAAAATTGAAATTTCAAAAATCCATTAAAACTTCAAATTTTGAAAAAACATTGTAATTTTCAAAAGTTTAAAAAACACAAACTCTGCAAAATCACCCAAAATGCCTCTAAGCCTTAAAAAAATAATTTTCCACTCTACTTAAATAACATTCGTGAAACTCGTGAAATAAAAAAGAATTCTTTGCATATAAATATATATTACTGCGACTCCGTGTCTTCATGTTCTTATTTTATACTCTTTTGTGTATGTCTCTTCGTATCCATCGTCACCATATTCATCTCCGTAAATTTTATTTTGGCGCTATTTTGACTTCCAATCTAGACTGGAGAATTGATTGCATAAGATTTTATTTTCATCTTCTTCTCATTCTCTCCATCGTCTCATACTTTGCATATTTTTCATCGCATTCGTTCCAAAATAATGTTTTTTTCAGGCAATTGAATTGAAAGTAAAATTTAAATTATCGAGGTTTACTTTTTTCCAATTGTTTACTTTCAATAAGCTTGAAAATTAGTCGAAAAAAATTTAGATCACATATTGAGACGTAATAGAAGTGAAATGCTCTTAATTTTTGATTTTGATGACCATCCCATGGAGATATCTCATATTACCATTACGAACGCACCCATGAATCGCAAGTGTGATATTTCATTCAAGAGTTAAGGGACTGCTGTGGAGCATTTCTTTGGCTATTGTTGAGAATAGGTGCTGTGATTTTTTTTGGGTTATTTGGTAGTAATTTGAGTAATTGGGGCAAAATATTTTGAGGTTATTATTTTTTTGATTGATTTAGTTCAAGTTTAAAAAGTGAAATTGATTAAAATAGTTGTTGACTTCAAATAATAAGGATGTAGCTAAGTGGTGGTCCTTGTATGAATCTTTGGGCTCAAGCCCCCCTTCCTCCCCCCTTGATTTGATAGAAAAATATTATTTTTTGGTATCATCAAAAACATTTGACAGCAACCAACCCCCCCAGTACACCCCCCCCCCCCCCTTCTTATATTACGCCCCCCCCCCCCCCCTCTTGAATTGATATCAGAGATCAAAAACTTCCTGCAAATTTCCTCTTTCTGGTTTAAAAAGTCAGTGATTGTTCAAATGACCCCCCCCCCCCCCCCCTCTCATACCTACAAACAGAACCTTAACGAACCCAAACACACACACTTCAAACATAATTTCCCCACTTTTCAAAAGAATCCAGCATAAAAAACATTCACGTATGGGTTAAAGCAGAACCTTTATGACTAGCTATCAATCTCTTGCTCATATTCAGCCTATAAAGTTTCGAATTTCAAGACATACAAAATCGATATTTTATTAATTTAATGTTCTCAAATATTTGATCTCTAACCCGGTTATTCAGCATCTTCAAAACTTTTGATGTTTTAAGGAAAGAATTACAATTTTTTTAATGGCTTTTAAGGCTGTACTTCTTATCACTTATTAACAATCATAATATTTATCAATAGCAATTAAAAGTTTCTTATTATTTCTTTCTTGTTCCTCCTCTTCAGTACTTTATTCTTAACTTTACAGCACACGACATGAAAAATAAGAAGAATGGAAATTTGAGGAAAAAATAATAAAAATATCGATTTTTCTTCATTTTTTCACTTTTATGTGTAACGCATTGGGGAATTGCGAAGGATGATTGAGTATTTTGAGCGAAAAATTTATGGAAATTTGAATTTAATCCTTAGAGATTTTATTTTGACTGTTAAAAGGGATTTTAGGGGAGAAATTTATGATTATTGTTATCTAAATTAATTTTGCAGCACTTGATTGTGGGAATTTTTTAAAATACATTTTTGGACAAAAAGAAAAAAATTCACACATAATTGTTTCGAATTTAGTGGGATTCGAACCCTTAACAACATTTCTTGTTTTAGATTTGGTCAAGCCTTGTAACCATTGATATATCAGACTATTTAACACCAGTGTGGATAATTTGGTCATAAACCTTATTATACTAAGTTTCTACCTACTAATCTTGATAAAACTAGGCTCTTAATTGGATATAAAATGGGCAACAAATGTTTTTGCATCTGGATCCACAATTAATTGACCAAAAATCTTGAACAAAAGCCTTTAACATCAATTTAGAAGTAAAAGACCTTAAGCAACTAAAGATAAACCTAGCTAAGATTTTACAGGCTCTCTAACATTGAATTAAACACTCTTAACTAGAGATTGTCTTCGATTACATTGTTTAACAAGGGTGTGATCCTGAATCGGCCTGAATCCTTCATCTAAAATACAATAAACAATTTCACAAAGATTCCTAATTCATTCCACATCCTTTTCCAATCAAACGATCAACTTTATAATTTAAACAATGTCAATTAAGGTTAATTACAATGAACTATAAATTATCCGCTTGTAGAATCTAAACATAACAATTAATTCCCACCCTAACCTCAAACCCCAAAAACCTCAACATTATTTAACATAAGCTACAAAATATCACCAAATTGTTCCATTGACGTGCTCAAAATAATCTCTAAAAAATCAAAATCTACCAAAACCAATAAAATTCATGTTATTTGAGGATTCAGCATGTGCAGTAATTGGAGATATTACGAAATTGATTATAATGCAAATTAAACAGACACATTTGCATAAATTACTATGAAATCGTATTTTGAAGCTTAGAAGCATTTGGATATGAAAATAATAAGTTTATCTTGTGAATATAAATTTTAAAAATATAATCTATATTCGGGGGGTTGTTCTTAAGTGATGTCCAATTGAGAGTTTGTTTGGATTGTCAAATTCAATTTTTGTCAATTTAATTCTTTTTGAGATTAAAGTTCTAGAAGATCTTAATAGCTTTAATCTCGAATAGAACAAGTCGGTTAATCGAATAGAAATCCGGTGCAAAAACGACGTGACTCTGGCATGGTACTGGACTTAAATCTAATCCAGTAACATGCCAGAGTTATGCCCGCTTCGCTAATGATTCACTCTTGGCTATGTTTTTGATGTCTTTGAGTAGTTTTCTTCAAGATTTGAACTAGATTCTTTCAAAAAATAGAAACTAATTTTGAAAATATGTGTGCTGAGGAAGTGAGAGGATTCTATGGCTGTGTAGTACTCTTATAATCCATCAATGGCTTTCTAGAAAGGATTTAGGATTTTTGAAGTCAAGTGTGGAAGTATCGACTCTTAAAACAGCTTTCTGAACATGGATCTTAGCAGAGCGGTTGTCAGGACATCGATATTGCACCAAGACAACGAAAAAACATCACAGAAGGAGCCATTAGGGTAGTCTAGCGGGCAAATAACTTTGTAGCTCCTCAAGTTAATCCTCTGAAGAGATTAATTTATCATTTCATACTAAACCTCATTTATAAACAATCCCATTCAGTTTCAACTAATATTCTGCTTATAATCCAGTTTAGTATCCATTTCCATTTCATCATTATAGAGTTTTATAAGCTGAAATGTTGATTCACTATGGATATTAATAAAAAAAGATGATTCAACTTACTTTAATATTTAGAAACTTGAGAT